ACTTCTGCAATCTTTACATCACTGCACCGGTTTCTCCTTCGGGCTTTTGCAACAACCCAAACCGGATGCTTTTATTGTGCTGTTGGCTGGGGAATTCTGGGAGCTGAAGTTCCCCCCCCCCCCCCGTCGTAAAAGTCGTGTGGTTGAGAAGCACTCTTGCGTTCATCGAGTCACAAGGCTGGCCGGGGACCTTGGAGGTCTTCTAGTCTAACCCCAACTCCAGGAGGCAAGCAGTTCTTCTGCTGAATAGTTCTTGTCAGGAAATTCTTCCATGAGGAAAGAAACAAAAAATCAATGAAAGAATATAACGAGACTCAAAAATAATAGTTATGAGTAAAATAAGAGGGTTAAGAATGGTGAAATCTAAATGAAATACGATAGAAAGGGAAATAATATAATGTGAGCGATATTGATTGATGATTGCTAAGATAAAAAACAGGAAGTTCCTGTTTGCACTGTATTGTATAAATGTGGTGTACATATAATTTTTGTGTGTGTATTTTACATGTTTGTTAATAAAAATCTTTTAAAAAAATAAAAAGAGTATGCAATGCATAATTCTATTTTGAAGGCAAAATTGATGTGTTCTGTGACAATGGAGAAAATGGTGAAAAGATATGAGCATGTTAGCAAGAGAACTGAAGAGACATTCAGCAATTCCTTTGCTGTTTTGACTGCTTAATTCTCAGGATATGCTTTGCTTTAAGAGGGACTAGCCTTCAATTCTGCAAATTGCAAAGTAAACTTCATAAACTGCATAGCACTACTTTTTGAAAAACTGAAATACAGCACCACCTATAGCTTCAAGCTGGAAACACTGGCTATGTACATATGCTCATTATTTTGTTCAGTATTGACCTACAGAAATTGAACAGAAGTGTTTCAAACATATATCTGTTGAAGTATTTCAACAGATATTTGGAAACTCTTAGTGGTAATATTCTAAATCTTTTACATTTGACTTCTATTCATATTAAAATAACCCTTTACGATCATGTCTATATAGATGGTCAATCATCCCAGGCTAAAACATATGAGGAATGGTTGCAGGAACTAGAAATGTCCAGTCTAATTTTGAATATTTAAGGGGCTTCACAAAGAATGAGGAATCAATGGGTTCTCCAAAGCACTTGAAGGCAGGACAAGAAGTAACAGAATGGAAACTTATCAAAGAGAAATCCAGCCTAGAACTAAGAAGAAATTTCCTGATAATGAGAAGAATCAGTGGAAAGACTTACCTTTAGAAGTTATGGGTGCTCCATCACTGAAGGTTTTAAAGAAGAGATTGGACAGCAACTTGCCTGGAATGGTATAGTCTCTTGCTTGAACATGGGATGCCCCATTGCAGGCTCAGCTATTCTCCTTCCATGCTTTCTCCCTATACTGTCCAAATCCCTCAGTAAAAAGCAATTAATAATTTTACAAAGGCTAGAAAGGTAGGCATCTGCAAACTGCTGATGGGCAGGTTTCCCACAAGGCAGAGTTTGAGTCCCTATGACTCAAACTCTCCTCCCCATGAACACTGACCTGGAACCGGTCATTGGGAAAACATGAGAACCACTGCAAAGCATTGCTTCCTCCTCTCAGCCCTCACAGCAGGTCCAGACTATTACCTTCTGCCCTTTAGGTCCACCAATTAATCTATTCTGAGTCAAGAGCTGAAGGAATATATCATTACAGAACAAACACAACATAAATGATAGACCACTTTAATATGTCATGGTATTACTGTATTTACTGTAGTTTCTAATAATTATTTCAATCCATTCATTATTTATCCTATATGTCAGTCAGAGGAACAGAACAAAAAGCTCTATATCTACATTCCATCATAAATAAAAAGGTAAACAATTAACTTTCTATGTATATGGTCCTCAAATGATTTCAGAAGCTGCTACTATAGAACACAAGTACATAGTACTTAGAAATGAAGGTGAAAAAGAAGCAACACTTAAGAAATAAGAAATCGTTCTCTTTAACATAAATTCTGAACTCAATTATTTTACTTGCAGTATACTATAGGAATGTTGGCAAAACTGTTTTACTTGGCATAGTCTAATGCAAGGCAGAATGGAACATTCTGCTTGATCATATCCTTTAAACCAGGGGTGTCCAAACTTTTTACAAGGAGGTGAAAATGTGTGGGGCCAACCATTCAGCCTGACATTCTTTGAACCATTAACATTAAATGCAAATGAACTAATTTATGAAAGACAAATAACTTCGGCGGGTAGAAGAGGTTGCGGGTTGCTTGAAATTTGAGAACAGCCCGTGATTTGCCAGACTTTGGACATGCCTACTTTAAGCAATACTCCAAATTTAGATTAGAGTTGTTTTTTACTATTGCTTCCACAGAGCAGCTTGGTATGAAGAATCTATAGCTTAAAAACAGGAATTCTTCTTTTTTTCCAAAGCTGTTCCTTAGTTTGTGTCTTGAGATACATAATCCAAGAACAGTAGCTAGGATAATTTAATTATCAGGGTATTTATTACAAATTAAATAAAAAATCAATGTAGCATCAATGCTCGTCCACCAGGAAAAAAAAACACTAAATTTGGATATACTATTTATTTAAAACCAATTCCAATAAAAAGGCTTGCAAGTTTTCAAATTCTTCAGAATTCAGACAAAAACCCAGAATAAAATTAGGCCATACCTTCTACTCTAAACCTTTGCGATTGAAACTTGGCCTTAGAATGAACTGTTAAATGAATGCATTTGTCAGAGAGAAGTATATTTTGTATCAACTTTATGTAGCTTTCAAGAGTCATACTTGTAAAACTCATTGTGTACCCTTGACCCACTCCTTCTATCTGGGACGATCGTCCTCTTCCACTGAGCGCGCAGCTTCGGGAGGGACACAGATGGAGTGGTGAGGGAGGAAGGGGACATCTGCCAAGCCAGCCAGATCAGCCAAATCAACCCTGGCAATCAGTGGCATGACAGATGTCGCAGCCAGATCGCCCTCACATCCACTCAGATTATCTAATGCTGGCCAAGATTCATTCTCCTAAAAGAATTCTTAGATAATTTATAAATATTTTTACTAGCCTATTAGAAATGGAAAAAAGATGGGATCTTTCTTCAGTGGCCCATAGCACTCCTGCTCTTAATCTAAAGTATGTTTCCTCTCTTCTCTCTGGGTTGCTTAGATATTGGAGTACTTTCCCTGCTTTCAACTAGTCTGATAATTTATTGAGTTGTCAATTATAGCCATGGAACTATTGCTTTAAGATAAAATTGAGAATTATTTTATGTTTAATGCAGAAGAAAAAAGGGATTTCCCATGGGGAAATAGTTTCACTTGATCTGAACAATTCTTTGCATTAATTTTAATACAAACAAAAGGACTAAATGAAAGCAAAAATAAGAAAATAGTAATTAAACTGGAGCTATACAAAGCATGAAGCAAAGAACAGGAATAATAGCGCACATTTAGAAATTTATTGCCATTGTAAAAATAGGATTTGTGAATTGTGGCTGTTTGCAAACGGTTGGTATTCAAATATTTGGGAGGCATGCCCTCATTTGATCATGTGCCTCAGCAGACCTGCCACATGTGGGAACATATGTGGCAAAGAAAGATGTATATTCTTATGTACAAAGTATCTGTGAAAAGTGGTGGAGTAACTTTTTCTTTCTGCAGTGTTTCAGATTCTGATAATTATATTTTTCAGAATTTGAAGAAGTCCTAGGGAAAAAGATAGAGCCTCGGTGGTGCAGTGGTTAGAGTGCAGTACTCAGGCTACTTCTGCTGCCTGCAGGCTGCCTGCAGTTTGGCAGTTCAAGTCTCACCAGGCTCAAGGTTGACTCAGCATTCCATCCTTCCGGGGTGGGTAAAATGAGGACCCAGATTATTGGGAGGAATATGCTGACTCTAAACTGCTTAGAGAGGACTGTAAAGCAGTATATAAGTATCAATTGTATTGCTATTGCTATTTTTTACTTAATATCCTGCGTAATTTGGATGTTATAAGAAATGGCTCTTACTGAACAAGTAAGTACAATCACTGAATTCACACTTCATTTTCAAATATAATATAGTTTATTTGGTTTGAGCTTAGCATGTTGTTTGGACTCAATGAGTGATAGCTTGGCAAAAGTTCAGTCCTGTACTGCTTTAGCATAAGTTTCACAGATTTATCCATATACATACCTGGAGTACTTTCCATGAGCTTATTTCAAATTATGTCTGAATGGACTACAGTCTACATTCACGCACCCAGATTTGGGAGAATTATTGATTTCCAAGAGAAATGAAACACAACATACAGCAAGCAGAATAATCAATATTTTCAGAAAATTGAGATGGTATGGAATGACCAAATGATTATAAAAGAAACTTGTGTCTTTCATTAACTGTATGAGTTTTGATATAATTAATAAAATGTGAATATTAATATACATAAATTACAGCTGTGTGCTGAAATCTGTTATCAATGTTCACAAATTATGCTAACTTTATAGGCTTTGTCTAGGTTGTACTATGTGGCAGTGAATATTTATCAATTTAATCAGGCCAATTATAATTATGGAAAATATACTGTAGTGTGCAGTGCAAATGAAATATCTTTCAAAATGTGTTTATTCAATAAATTTAAAATAAGAGTAATTTCAAAGATAACTGTCTCAAAAATGTATTTCTGCAATCATTCAAGGTCATAGCAAAAGAGGATAATTGAAAATAGCAACCTAAAGGAAAATTATACATTTTAATGGCTCAGCAGTATATAGAAGCTATGGTGAATTCTGCTGATCTTTTCCTGGTACATGCAGTTAGTTTTCTGTTGCTCCCTTTGAGAAATGGTGCCCACAAAGAGAAGTGGTGTGATGGATTATAGTGAAGCAGCAGTTTCCCTAGGAGCAGGAAGCATATTCTAGAACAGGGATATCAAACTCCTGACAACACATTGTCATCACGTGATGTATTGCAACTTCCCTCCCTTCTCTAAACCAGGGGCGGGCATGGCCAGTGCGATGCATCTGGCCCATAGGCTGAGAGTTCGACACCCCTGTTCTTGAAAAAGGGCAAGATAAGAGGCAACCCAGCCCAGATCACGATAGGAGACAAAGAAGAGAGTAACATTAGAATTTCCAGGATATATCTTTAGGGTGAGAGTAGTAGAAGTTTAGCCTGGCAAGATTTTGTCTATTGTGTGTAAGTAAATAAAGAATTGAACTTTGGCTGAATTGTTCTATGACATTCTTGGGCTGAGCCTTACCCTTCCACACCTCATGTTTAAGAAGATAGTGATTTTATGTGTAGAATTGTGACTACAGGGAACTATTCCAAGATGCCACCTTTTTAAAACTTTTTTTTTCTATTTTCAGGAACAAAATGCTATTTACATAAGACACTGTCCTAGAACATTAATTCAATTGCCAGTGGATATTTTGACTCTGGGAAATAATAGCAGAAAATGGCAGTTGCCCTCAAGTCTGTTGGCAAGCAGACCATTTAGTTAGCAATGTGAAAAACAATATACTGGACTACCTAATTCAGGAATGTCAAATTGGCAGCCCGCATGCGTCATGTGCAGGCCACACCAACCCCAGCTCCGTGAGTGGGGAAAAAATTGTGAAACATCACATGACAGCAACATGACGTAGCAAATTTGACACCTGTGACCTAGTTCTTTGGCTCATATGTTGCAGGTCATTATGGATCTTTTTTTGCTGTATTATTTTAACACAACACAATTAGAGGCAATGTGGACAGAATCACAAACAAACCTATAAGGGATAATCCAAAGTTCCTAAATGTCACGACCACATACTGATTTTTTTTCTTTTTACTAATGTAAAATTTTATAAACAACTGTGAGTTATTTTTATCTTCCATCATTTACTAAAAATATTTGAACAATACTAGCACAGGCAAATAGGCAATGGCTGAATTCTTGGATAATGAGTGTAATTTGTTTTTAATTTAATGCATCTTTGGTGTAATACAAATCCAGTCAGTGTTACAACTCCTTGTGCCCTTCAAAATAACATTGTTAAAAATCACATATTTTAGTCTATATGTACATTAATCCTGTACTGGGCTCACAAAACTACTTTGACTTTCAACTCCTGAAACCACTAAGGTCCCAGTATTCAAATCTTGTGCGCTATAGCGTATTCCAATGGTGTAAATGTGTTCTAGCTTCAAAAGGTGTCCTCACCTTATGTTTCATGAGTATTTTTGAGTATTTTTTCTCAATCTCCAAAACCTGCATATTCACTTAATAATCTTCATATGCAACGGGATATATGAGGAAAAAAATCTAGATAAGATTGCATGTGAGGGGAAAAAATTAAAAGTTTCTTGCCAACTACCACAAACTTAGCAAATATGACCCTAACAGGTTCAATCTCAGCAATATATGTAAAGTTTCACTTCCAATTTTTAAACACAATGTTAATTTTCAATACAAAAAGTTTTAACCAGTATTATTACTAAAAACACATGAGCAACTACTATATTTTTGGAACCATCAGACTTTACTTTTAGAGAAGCTAACACTTCAAAAATTCATGAACTTCATATTAAACAAGAAATTAACAACTCATGTTCTACACTTTTCTTCAGCTTCAAAAATTTTTGTACTTTGTTACAGTATGGCAAGGCACATAGAAACTCTTCCTTCAAAGCAAGATGTATTCCCTGAAATAATTTTAAAATCCTCAAAGCAATAAGAAATACTACAAATGTTTTTTTCTTTTTCTCCCTAAAAACTCTCTCTACAAGACCACATCCATTTAGAAAAGTGACTTAACAAGCACATGAAATTGATCTTTACATACTTGTACTTGTAATACAAATATATTGAATTAGAGCTTTTGTTATTCTGGGTTACATTGTTTAAAAGATTAGATTTCCATTTAACTGTTATCATTTCTAATGCCTTTGACAATTTACGTATTTAAGAAATAAAATAAAAACAAAACGCAAGCATTGTTGGTATCACACAAACATGTCTTTTTTCAAATATTATTTTCTCACTAGACTTGGAATTAAATGTTTAAGTGCTTTTATTCTCTGATCTATATTGTTTTTTAAAAAGTTTAATTCCTTTTTTGACCAAGAATATCTTTCCAAAAAACAAGTAAATTTAAGAGGTAGATTTCTCCATGATGCACTTATTTATTTCAAATAAAAACAAAAAACAAAAGTTCTTTTTAGAACAAAAATCACATCTTGAAAAAAGCTTGGGACATTATTTAATACAGTTCAGTAACATAACAGTCCTTTGCAGAAATCAAAGCTGTTTAGAAACCAATGCAATCTTCCTTAAAATACAAGCCTGCCAACAGTACTAAATCCTCCCCCACCACCTCCACCGGTTGGACCACAACTCCCTGGGGGATCATTGTCATCAAATCCATTTGGCCGAAAAGAACACGAAGCTGCAGATGCTTCTAGGGCCTGGGTTCGAGCACTAAGCTCTTGTTCCTAAAAGAAGAAAAAAAACGAGTGGTCACACACACATTGATTTTTAAGAAAAGTAATTATGATGCAAATTTCAGGGGGGGAAATGGGAAACAGAATTCTACATATGACACAGCTATATCAAATATTATTATCCAGTACTTCTTCAATTGTGACCCTATAAAATATAAAACAAACTCCCCACAAAATACACCAGAAGTATCCATATTGTTTACTAGTTTTAGGAACTTTTTTTTAAACTTAAGGAACTATTCCAGAACATTTCAAATTTCATAGATGAAGGAAAATATACCTTTGGTCCTGGTGATCGCCTCAGATTGAATCAAATTTCTTTAAAATCTTTTAACAAGCAGACACTAGATTCATCATAATTCTAGTATTTCTCCAAAACATTCTGGAAAAAATAGTTTGTATAGTTCTAATTAGCCTGCCTGCTGATGAACAAGAACTCAAATGACCAGCATTCCTATCCTTTTTAATTCTCATTGAGTATTGCATCTATTAACTGGTAGAACTGTGTAACATTTTGAATGGGTCAATAGATTCAACAGAACGTCAACTGAATCAAGCCACTGAAGCAGGTATGTTAATCAAGTAAAGTGAATCCAAAGCACTTCAGAGATTTGATAGATTTGGGTAGTTGTTGTGATTCTTACAAATAGTATATAGAATAGTAACTTCAGCACTGAATATTATGATTTCTGGCGCTGACACAAATTACTGGCTAGTAATTTATTTGTTCATTATAATATCTAAATCAGCTCCTTTGCATGGGCAGGGCTAACCTTATCTAGGCTTTCTTTCACTTTTTCAGCTGTCACATTCTTTAATATGGCCAGTCACAAGCCTTAATCTCTCTCTTGCACTAATGGAATGTACCGATCCTGCAAACACAACTGGAAGTTCAACTCAGCTTTCAGCATTGTAAATATAGATTCAAGGTTATTAATTAGCTATATAGAGCACCCATGTGAGCCTGGATGGCAAACAACAAATAAAAAATTAAAGTATCAACAACAATTACCACATTTAACTACCTGGTGCAGAGGAATTATCAAGTTTTCCATGCATTACAGAAGATCATCAGGATCAGGTACATTTCAATATTGGGGGAAGAGACTATTTTACAGAACAGATATTCTGTTTTACAGAACAGAGGTGCATTTCCTAAGTTCCATCAGACAAGATTATCCATCAGACGAGAATTGAATGATGCCCATCTTGTCAGACCTCATTGAAGTAAAAGAGTAAGGTTGCCTTATTTTTAAACTCTGCACAGCTAGGAAAGGTTTAAGCTTCTTTATTCTTCTAAAAGTAAGGGTGTAGTAATAAAGGCTATAAAGTAGTGGCACAGGCGACACTTTTTCTATTTTGTTATGGATTGCCATTTTTATGGCACTGTAACTGTACTAACATTCTTCTGCTGCCATGTCTAACTAACCCAAGATATTACAGACAAACCATATTCTTGATACAACCAGGGATTCCATTATACCAAAAAATGAAGTGAAACTGCTTCAGACATTCAAAACTTTTTCATTACAAAGTAAAGACATTTTTTTTCTTCCAAATCAATTCTTGAACTGGTATAAATCAAGCTGAACTGCACTGAATTTTAAATCACAAAGTTAAATCACAAAGTTGAACCTTCAAATTTCCAATTATGGTCTAACCTGATTCACATAGGACTACTGAGCACTTTCCTAGAGTTTCCAATAGGAATTTATTTTGAGACCTACCTAACCCGGGTTTTGTGAATAAAATGTTGCTCTATCCTCAAGTTAATTCTTCACTTCCACTGGAACCATAGCTTTACAGTAAACTATTGTAGTCAGTCAGGAAGATTTCCAAAATTACTAGACAATTTAAATGAATTAGGCTTTGCATTCTTCAATTGCTTTGGATAGTGAGATGAGGGCATATAAATTTAATAAATAAATGTGTATGGTATTTCTTATCCTAACATTAAGATAGCTAATTCTGTACTGGCATAAACTTGCTTTTTTAATATAAATTTTTATTTTAAACACATAAACACATCAACAAAAACAAACACATGACTTAAGACAACATAGGAACAAGAAGTTCCATGATATATCATACAGCAGTTCCGTATCGGTTTCTTTGCAGTTAAGTGTTTTCCCTTCTATACATTTCTATCTTGCATTCATGGTCTCCTTTATTCGTTATCCATTTTTATGTACTATTCTATATTTATTTATATTTAGCTATTTATAACCAAAT